CAGCAGCAGCAGACTTCGACATTGCCACCTAGCGCCTGCACTACATCGCCACTGCTGCTGCCATCATAACGCAAGCCCAGGATAGAATGCGGTGTCAGTGGGTCGCCACGGTGGCTAGGAGATGTTAACTACCTCGCCTGATATGCAGGAGGTCGTGGGTTCATCCCCGACCCTGACGATGCCTGCTGCTGCTGTGTATTTGGAGTTTGCAGTGTCTCTCTCTCTCTCGCTGTGGTCGCGTGGATTTCTCTCCGGGTCGTTCGGTTTTTCCCTCCACATTTAGAATCAACATCACGCGTTCAGAGTATTTGGCGACTTTGAATTTCATATTGAAGGGGGGGGGGGGTCTGACTTTTTGTGACGCCGTGTGACGAGGGGTCAAAAATCGTCCAAAATCGCGTGACGCCATTTATGGACGGCCCCTTACTTCCGATATTAGGAAGCCATTAGGAGCGGTGCGCTTTCAAATCGAGATTGAAACGGATTTCTTTAGAGCTGCATTTTGTGTTTTTCCTTTTCCCCGCACCTCCGATGAGCACGGTTGGCTACGTACGGTGTAAAACGAAGTTCAACATACTGTACATGCATGCAGGGCCCCCGTTGTAGCGAGTCCATGGACTCAGCCGTCTGATCTGGCTTTATTCTTGGTTCTTTCGGTAAAGTCACGTAGAATGGAAATAAAATAATAAAACAGAATAAAATTCTCACGACGTTTCGGCCACAACACAAGTAGCCTTCCTCAGGTGAAGAAACAGGACTGTCCAGAAGACAGCGCTCGAGTGAACACTGCCAAGCATAGACCGCGTCTTTTTAAGCTGTGTGGGCGGAGTTACCATATGAATTAGCATGTTACCCAGCACCACCACCGGAGCGGAGGAGGGTGGCGGCTGGGCACACAGAAAAATACCAAAGCAGAAACAGCCAAGGTGCGCTGCTCTGTCCTGTGTTGCATTATAACTCTGCTATAAACTGGACTACTATACAATATTATACCTGCCAATCTAAACTACATGGTATAATATCGTATCCATATTTTTTCTGAGATAAGAGCTAAGCTAGTTCTAGCTAGAATTCGTTTTGCATTGAAAGAAGTTACAGCAGCAGAGGTTAGTGTAAATGCGGTTGGTATTACCTTAAGAGTCGCGGCATTTTTCCATGACTTGTTCAGTGTGCAGGACAGTGGTTACCTTCTCCTCGTGTGACCACTCCTCCGCCTCACTTTCAAACGCGGTTTACCGGAGATGCGATTATTTTTCTCGATATATTTCCATAGAATGTATGCGTGCCTTTCAAATCTCTGGATCTTTGCGGTGTTTTCGATTAATGTAAAAAAAAAAGTATCGCTTTCGTCAAATGCATACACGCAAAATCAAAGTGTTTACGTACAATAGTAAAAGATTAATAGCAGTACAAAAAAAACCAAGAAACAATAGTTGGCCGTTGTTTTTTTAATATCACAAATAATTTTTGTTACGGTATTTGTTGTACATAAACAATACTACTGTGCTACACAAATGTGAAACAATAAAATTATTCCGCATCTCCATGGAGTGCTTCTTCACCTCCTCCTCGTCACGATGCAACGTCACAGTAGACGCGGAACTGGCGTGGATGGAAGTTGAACCATGCGAAGTGACCGAGCATCGGGGCGGTCACCGCGCAATTCAAACAGGGTCACAGGTTTTGACGTCACAGGAAGTGACGTTAGAAAGGCGGAGCAGAGGACCACGGCGCTCGACAAAATGGGTGCCGGGCCGCGTGCGAAAACGCTCCACGCGTTTGGTGACGAACCGGCGACGAACTGGTGGATTAGTTTGGTTCAAAGAAAAACTTCCCCGACCCCCAACCCCTCCATCCAACGACCTATTTTCCACCCTCGTCCTCCCCTCCAGCGTACACTCACCGCAACATTACCGGGTTGGGTAAGCGCTGTCCCCGACCTGGAGTGAATTCTCGGCATTACTTAAAACGTCGGTCTAAACTCGCTTTCTTGACAATCAAACATTTTACTGCACTCTCCTTTTTAAGGGGGCGGGGTGGGGGCGGAGGGGAGGGGACAAGTAGTGGGGAAATTGACCCTGTGGATTCTTTTGCAAATCCTAATGATGCTGAACGAGCCCTCGAGAAAGCGAGGAAACAAGACATAAGCGATGGCGAGCGAACAATCTAAATAAAATACGCCACCTGTTAACGTTCCGCACAGCGCCAATGGGAATACCTTCACGTACATGAATGTGATAGACTGTCCCGAAAGCACTCCACAAATGTGGTCATTTTGTTTTGCGCACTGGTACACTTTAAGGTCACCGGTCGAACGGGCATTGGCTCATCACAACATCGAGCAATGTGTTTTGCAGGCTGTGCATTGACAATCAATAACTTAAAACACACATACACACACACAACACCGTTTTCCTTAACCCATCACACCACAAACGTTTAGCCTGCTCCTCCTCCCACCACCTTCACATCTCCAGCCGACAAACACGTGTCGTCATCGCTCCCACCAGGATCGGCCCAGAGGCAGCAGCAATGGGCGCAACAAGTTGCGAGCGACGTTAAATCCACGAGTCGTGTACAACTCAAGCTTGGCCAGCCGAGCACTCGGCAATGGGTTGTTAACCACGCGTTCAAATTTGGCCGGGATCGTCGTTTTCCCCAGGAGGGTTGGAAAAAGGGGGGCAGCAGCTACTGCTACTGCTGCAGCAGCTACTGCTACTGCTGCAGCTGCTACTGCTGCCTAGAGATTAAGTTCGAGTTGTTAAAGGCAACGCAGCACGATGCGGAGCGAACGGCCGCGTCGATTCGTATGAAGTGGACGCGTCCCCGAGAGGAGTTTGGGCTCCGAATGGGAATTAAAGTTACGGCCTTTAGAACATTAGGGGCGCAACGCCAACTGCGTTTTGCATCCCAAAGTGCGTTCATTAAACTGCAACAAGTTTATGTTTGGTGGGTGTGGAAATTCCCAGCTGCATTTTGTTGTGTCCTGGAATTGTTTACTGCTTTGAAATCAAGAACGGGAAATTTCAAATCGCAGGGCTTTGTTTGCACCTGGGGATCTTTTAACGTTGCCGGCTAATGTCGTATTCCCGCCACGTGCTCCAATTCTTCCCGTCGCTGTGCCTCAAAAACGGCGAGTCCTGCCTGCCAAGCAGACCTACTGCTGCTGCTGCTGCATACCGCCGCTGCTGTTGCTGCAGAGAGAGGGGGCAACATTTTTGTGGCCGCAAAAAGGCAGGTAAGTAAGCACAATAACAGAAAGTTACGAGGGGTGGGGGGAGACCTTAAGACCACTCCAAGAACGAACCCGTGGGTATTAAGCGTTGTCGTATTAGTTAGTGTGGATTTATGAACACCAGGACATATGCCAAATACACCAATACCAAATACAGCACTGCTTTGATAACGATTACGGTATAAATAAGGGTAAGATGCATTTTTTTTCATCTCACAAGTACAATCCTATCCCTCTGAATAGGCTGCACTTCCATAATAAAGATGTTTTGGTTGAGATCGCGTGAACCATAAATGTGCCGTTAATGTACTTAAAGACCGAAACAGGAGGACTTCCTCACTTTTTTTCTGGCTGATTGCCTCAAGCTGGTTGTTGTAATCACCAGCGGAACCATCACTGTACTCGCATTGTAAATGTTGCAGTGGGCTCACTCTCCGACACACTGGTGTGCTGTGCCAGTAATTGGCACGTTTTGTTCACGTGACAAAGTTTACTAATTGGCTGTCGGGTGGTGGTGGGTTTAACGACACATTTATATTTTACGCGATGTAACCCACGCACAAAAAAAAACATGATGGATTTTGGTCGCGAAAGCCCACGTGTTAAACTAGACTGCATTTACAGTTATACGCATTTGTGTAAAAAAAAACTATAGCAAGTCTATTCAACGTCCAGTATCGAACCAGGCGAGGGCCCAATGCGAAATATTATCTCCGTTGTGAAATTATTTCAAATTGGCGTAATCAAAAATTAGCATTTTGCTACACACTCGAGCGTCGTATCGTCACGGGGAGGTGTTCATTCCGTGTACGGTTTATACATCGTTGCAATGTTGTACTTGTAAATACCGGCTTCAACCTCTGGCCTCACACGTGATCGTTGGTGCAACGGTATCGATTAAGTTGGTGAACAATACAAGAGGATTATTAAATTAACGGTTCAGGTGTAAATGTCCCCAACAATTACGTTTTAACGCCATCAGCTCGAAGCTAAATCTACCCAGCTAAGGTAAAGCTGCCGATGGGTCGGGACTGTGCTGACTTTTGAACCAAACGGGCATCTCCCGTCTTGCAAATGAGCTCGGCCGTGGAAACCGCTGCCTGCTAACATCCAGTGTATTATTATTATGGCATTGTGGAACGAACGAGAGTCAAATTCCCAAAGCGAATGTAAAAAAACAATGATTGTAAACTCAAAGGAAAGCTACCCGACTTCACCCCAAACCTTGCGTTCACAACGGACACTCGCGTACCAACCGAGCGTCTTGTAAACCAGGGGTTTCCATCTCTCAGAGGTCACCTAACCCCCCCCCTACCCAGATAACCTAATGCTCACCCCCAAAACGACCGCTGGGAGCGATGAGGATCCCTGCACGGATGACGGAGGACCCCCTTGACGACCGAGCGACGCCGCTGTTGTGAACAAACCAAAACGCACACCCATGGCACGCGCGTTCACTTTCGCATTTTACATGCAGCAGCAGTCCCTCCCCCCCTCCTCCGTGGTTGTTCTCGCACGGGCACAGCTAGATGAAGCCAAAGCACACCGCGGACATTTAAAAACGAAGTTCCACGACCGATGGACACGCTGGCTCAGGCCTGGTTGTTTAGCCCATTTCTCAGGCCTGGTTGTTTAGCCCATTTCTCAGGCCTGGTTGTTTAGCCCATTTCTCAGGCCTGGTTGTTTAGCCCATTTCTCAGGCCTGGTTGTTTAGCCCATTTCTCAGGCCTGGTTGTTTGGCCCATTTCTCAGGCCTGGTTGTTCGGCCCATTTCTCAGGCCTGGTTGTTTGGCCCATTTCTCAGGCCTGGTTGTTGAGCCCATTTCTCAGGCCTGGTTGTTGAGCCCATTTCTCAGGCCTGGTTGTTTGGCCCATTTCTCAGGCCTGGTTGTTTAGCCCATTTCTCAGGCCTGGTTGTTTAGCCCATTTCTCAGGCCTGGTTGTTTGGCCCATTTCTCAGGCCTGGTTGTTTGGCCCATTTCTCAGGCCTGGTTGTTGAGCCCATTTCTCAGGCCTGGTTGTTGAGCCCATTTCTCAGGCCTGGTTGTTGAGCCCATTTCTCAGGCCTGGTTGTTTAGCCCATTTCTTCCCCATATCGGGAGACGGTGACGGACGTGACCCCGGTGGCGGCAAGCAACTATCGCCGCCCCATCGCACCGCTCGGTTAACGGCTCCAATCCGGCGTTCGTAACCCCGTGGGCGGGGTTATTATGAACGCTAAACACATACCACATGACGTCCACTTCACGGCAGGACTAACAACAATAAACCAAAAACCATCACGCTATGTAATTCGCAAGAGTCGGGGGGGGGGGGCCCCATCGCATCGTGCGACCGGTGGGGGTCACGGCCAAACATTTTCCCGAATTGTGAAACAATCACACTGCAGATTACTCAAAGGGAATATACGCAACAATCATCACCCCCCCCCCAAAACTTGGCAAGGCTTCCTTCCTGGGTAAACGAGCGTCATAATAATCCTCTTCAGGCCTTGTAGACAAAACTTTTAGGGAGGTTAAATTGGAGCGACACCAGCTGGCGCCGGCGTGCGTGCTAAACAAAAACGGGTTCAGCATCTGCCCTGATCGCTGAACAAAGGTGAACCACATTATGAAAAAAATGTTCGGTATTTTTTTTCACCTCTTGTTCATGTATAGTAAACAAAAGAAGCAAGCGAAGTGATCATTTGTGGGTATCGACGTGAAAAATAAAAACCGGGTAATGTTAATCTTTCGCCGTTTCAAAACTGGGACGTGAACGCTTGCGCCAATACAGGGTGCTTGAAAAAAAATGCTAACACTTATTATGGGACTATCGTTTTTAATGAAAAAATAACGGATAGTAACACACGGTAACATGATAACAAATGTAATGTTAATAGCTTCAGAAAGTCAAAGAGTCTCCCACTTGTTCGCCGGCGTTGTCAACGCGTTGCCTGGAATCTTCTCCAGGCGGTCTCCAGAGCCCGGAGGCAGCAGCACATCTCTTGCGGCGTCGTTGTTGTTGTAAAATTCTCAGAAGCGTTAAAACATTTCGAAGCACCCTGTGTTCGCGGAAAAGGCAAACGGGGAATCTGCCAAATGGAAACGGCTCGGTGGCTGTGTGGCGCGCGACGGTGGCCGGAACTGGCTGGAATGAAACAAGAAGATTGGCGTGAGGGCGGAGAGGCTTTGAACATCTTCGACGCAACAAGCGAGTGGTGAGAACAGACGACTTGTTTAAAAAAAACAAAAAAAAAGAGAAAACCACTTGAGAGATTGCGCAAGACACGGGCGAGAGGCCGAAGGGTTTACAAAAACTCAAAATACGGAGAGACACGGGGGGGGGGGGGGGGGGACACGCGACACCGATCTGACGACGCTCGTCCGCTTATTTGCATCAAAAATATAAGTGACATCTTTAGAACGCAGGCTTACACCGGGGGAGGGCGTTACAACGTAAGGCTTTCTTCGTTACGAGTCCACCACGCCCGTCGTTCGAACGTCATCTGTGCTCGTGCACCCACCGGATAAGGTCCCGGGGGTCACACTGTGTCCCGGGGAAGAGAAGCAGGCGTTTGAAAATTTGGTCCTAAAGGGAAAGCTGTTCTCGGGTGGCCACAAGTTGCAGGCCGCTTGAAAATAATCGCACTGGTTTTTGTTTTTGTAATATATATATCACGTGTGTATTTGACGGAGGTCCCACGGAACCGTAAGCGATCGCTACCGGTGCGACGCGGTCCACCTGCGTTGGCTTCAATTCCTGACGGACGCCAACGCGGTCCACCGGATCGCCGGGTCCCATCGGCCGACGGCCGGAAAAGCCGCCGCTCGGCGCGCGCAAAAAAAAAACCCGCTAAATCCCACGCAGTCGACCGGGGGAAAAACTGACCCCACGTGCGTCGACTGCCCGCATCCGCGTGCCGCGTTCCTCATCCTCGCCCCGCCGCTCCATCCTGCGCCAATGGCGACTGAGAAACGGGGCGGCCCGGAGCTGCCACTTCCAGTCGAGTCCTTCAGGCGTCGCTCAGCTGTTTTTCCGCACCGACCCCTCCCCGGCACACGAGGGGAGCCTTCACGCGAAACTCGCACGAAGTGGCCGGTCCTCGCTTGCCGGGGACAAGTTGGGCGGTCGGGCGGGCGGGAGTGCGGGTGGTCGTGAGCGAACGAGTGCCGGCCCCTCACCCCGACCGGACGGGCAAGGCGCTAGGAGGAGCAGGGCTGCACGGCGTTGCGCATTTTGATGTCCTTGCGGCACAGCGGACACACCTCGAGCTGCAGGGCGCACGGCATGCACAGGTCCCTGCGCACATGGCCAAGCGAACAACACGCACGCGGTGACGCCGCCGGCCTGACCGCCGCATCGGTGAAGGTGTCGGTGCTACTTAAGACAGTGACGGTCACGGTGAAGGTGTCGCTGATGGTGATGACGATGATCGTTACGACCGTGATGGTCACGGTGAAGGTGTCGCTGATGGTGATGATGACGATCGTTACGACCGTGATGGTGAAGGTGTCGCTGATGGTGATGACGACGATCGTTACGACCGTGACGGTCACGGTGAAGGTGTCGCTGTTGGTGATGATGACGATCGTTACGACCGTGACGGTCTCGGTGAAGGTGTCGCTGATGGTGATGATGGTGTTGGACACGCTGGCAATGGCGTGTATCCTCCTGCCGAATCGCGGGCCCCCCCCCCCCTCCGGCTCCGCCCCCCACCTTCTCCCCCACCCCCCTATCGTCCTCACCGGTGTCCGCACGGCAAGAGCTCCGTGTCGGCCATGTTGTCGCAGCACAGCGAGCACGAGTTCTCTTTGATGCTCAGCTGCCGCAGCAGGGCCAGCTTCATGTGCCTGGCCGGGAGACGCGGCGCGCGCACCAAAATCAACAACCGCGAGCACCAAAATCAACGGCCGCGAGCGCCAAAATCAACGGCCGCGGGCGCCAAAAATCGACGACTCAAGAGCGCCAAAATCAGTGACCGCAAGCGCCAAAATCAACGACCGCGAGCGCCAAAATCAACGACCGCGAGCGCCGCTCATGGGGGTGGTCGTGACAACGCCGCAGGCAGCCGTCGCCGACGCGGCAGAAGCTCAGACGCTCCGGTTGGCGCGACGGGCGGTTCCGTCGTCGGCCGGCGCCTTCCCGATGGCGACGTGCAATGCCCCGCGATGCCGCCGGACTCTTCAGCGGTGTCCGCGACTTAACCCTTTGACTATTTTTTATTTTACCAGGTCGGAAGGCCCACCGAGCCATATATAGCCCTTTTCCAGAAGCAACATGGCATAAAAAAATTACAGCTCGGGCCAAGTTATTTTTACCGTCATGTGGAAATTTATGGCAGCAGCGCGAAGTTGATTCTAAATGTGGAGGGTAAAAACCGGAGGACCCGGAGAAAAATCCACGCGGCCACCACGGAGAGAGAGACGCGCAAACTCCAAATATACAGGAGGCGGCGGGCATAGGGTCCGGGATCAAACCCATGACCTCCTGCACACCAGGCGTAGGCAGTTAACATCTCCTTAGCCACCGTGGGGGCCTGGAAACAAAACTCAAACTTGGCAGGACCCTCCTGAAAAAAAACTGTCTTGAGACTCGGCGAGGCTGATCGGGGGGCAAACAGGCGCAGCAGCAGCAGCAGCAGCACGCTCGAGAGCGCGGCTGGCACCGCGAGCCGGACGGACGGGGTGTGACGAAGGAAACGCCCTCCGCGAGAGGTCGAGCCCGTTTGGCCGTGCCTGGGCAGGATGAGTTTCTCCTGGCTGTTGAGCGTCGCGCACTCGTTGAAGGTGGAGAAGCGCACGGCGGGCGGGTGCTTGAACGGCCGCGCGCCGAAGTTGAACTCGCACTGCTGGTAGGACATGAAGCTCGCGGCCGCAAAGAAGCCCGACCTGTTGTCGGGAGGCACGGGGGGTGGGGGAACGCGACACGGCCGCGTGAACGCACGCACGACGGCCTGCGCCGAGCACGGTAGAGAAACCGGCACGGGTACCAGCACGGCACAGGCGGAGCGGTGGTGTAGCGGTTAGCGCTACGCTGCGCTATGAACCCGGCGACACGGGTTCGATTCCCGCTCACGGCCAACACCAGTGACGATTATCGGAACCGGTCCCGGGCCTCCCCTAGGTCGACTCAGCCTCAAATGAGACCTGATCCCAGAAGTGTGCTAGTGTGTGTGTGCTAGTGTGTGTGTGCTAGTGTGTGTGTGCTAGTGTTATGTGTGCTAGTGTTATGTGTGCTAGTGTGTGTGTGCTAGTGTTATGTGTGCTAGTGTTATGTGTGCTAGTGTGTGCGTGCTAGTGTGTGCGTGCTAGTGTTATGTGTACTAATGTGTGTGTGCTAGTGTGTGTGCTAGTGTGTGCGTGCTAGTGTGTGTGTGCTAGTGTATTTTGTACCATCGGACACTCCACCCCCACAACTCCCAATCGGTGATGGGGCAGTTGTGGAGCGAGTGGAGAGTTTCCCATACCTGGGCAGTGTGCTTATGACCGGCTCAAATTAAACAGCAGAGGTCTCAATCCGAATCAGTCGAGCGGCAATATCTTTTCATCGGTTGCGTAACGTTGTGTGGAAGCTACCTGGTCTGTCGCTCCGCACTAAGCTTCAGGTCTTCTCGGCCACGGTCATTCCCTCCCTTCTCTACGCTTGCGAAACGTGGACTCCCCTAATGGAACATCTTCGCTGGTTAGAAACATTTAGGCTGGCCTGCCTACGATCCATCCTGGGTTTAACCAGACTGGATTGTGTGAGGAGCTCACAAATCCTTGAAAGATCTGGGCAAGGTCCCATCGGTGAGCTCCTCCGGCGGGCAAGGCTGCGATGGCTGGATCATGTAGCCCGCATGCCCAGTCACCGCATGCCGAAACAGCTTTTGTTCGGCCGAATTGAGGGGGCTAAACGGGCGCGGCACGGGCTAGAGAAGAGATGGAGTGATGTGGTACAGGAGGACGTGGAGCTGAGTGGACTTGCCGATGACTGGTACCAGCGGTGTCAAGATCGGCCTCTGTGGAGGAGGCTCGTGAAGGACGCTACTGGGCAGTTGGAGGTAGTCGCCCTCCAACAACAACGGAGGGCGGAGGAGCGACACTCACAACAACGAGCGGAGCGCCGGGTGCCCCCTACTGTGCCAACCTGCCAACAGCAGGTTGGCACAGTAGGGGGCACAGGTGGTGCATCAGCCAGTCATCTCAGTCGACCCGTGGCACCTGGGTCTGCCCCGTGACCTCCTGCCAGCGGGCGTTCGACACTTCACGTGGCCTCAGGGTGCACATAGCCTGGCACAAGCGTCGTGGTGACGTCACCGCCACTTAGTGGTGAATGGCGGTTGTTGTTGTTGTTGTGCTAGTGTGTGTGTGCTAGTGTGTGCGTGCTAGTGTTATGTGTGATAGTGTTATGTGTGCTAGTGTGTGCGTGCTAGTGTGCGTGTGCTAGTGTGCGCGTGCTATGTGTGCTAGTGTGTGTGCTAGTGTGGATGTGCTAGTGTTATGTGTGCGCTAGTGTGCGTGTGCTAGTGTTATGTGTGCGCTAGTGTTGTGTGCGCTAGTGTTATGTGTGCTAGTGTGTGTGTGCTAGTGTTATGTGTGCGCTAGTGTGTGTGTGCTAGTGTTATGTGTGCGAGTGTGTGTGCGCTAGTGTTATTTGTGCTAGTGTTATGTGCGCTAGTGTTATGTGTGCTAGTGTTATGTGTGCTAGTGTGTGTGTGCTAGTGTGTGTGTGCTAGTGTGTGCGCTAGTGTTATTTGTGCTAGTGTTATGTGCGCTAGTGTTATGTGTGCTAGTGTTGTGTGCTAGTGTGTGTGCGCTAGTGTGTGTGCGCTAGTGTGTGTGCGCTAGTGTGTGTGTGCGCTAGTGTTATGTGTGAGCTAGTGTGTGCGTGCTAATGTTATGTGTGCTAGTGTTATGTGTGCTAGTGTGTGCGTGCTAGTGTTATGTGTGCGCTAGTGTGTGCGCGCTAGTGTTATGTGTGCGCTAGTGTGTGCGCGCTAGTGTTATGTGTGCGCTAGTGCGTGCGTGCTAGTGTTATGTATGCGAGTGTGTGTGCGCTAGTGTGCGTAACGCGCATGACGTCAGCCGGTAAGACACCAACGCAGTATCGCCACGTCAGCTACGCGCGTCTCGGAGAAAAACAAACCCCGCGCTTCGTGCCATGCCAGGGCGCCAGTACGGCTCGTGCGGTGGAAAAAAAAAATCAACCCGAGCCCCGACCGTTGCGTCGCTTTAACCGATAAGGAGTCCCCATTGTTGTTTGGCTTCGTGAAATTATGAGTTCAGAGGAAGACATCATTATGCTCACCGGGCAGTATTGATTTGAAGTTTAAGCGGTGTATCGGCCGATATTCGGCTTTTAAAAAAAAATATCGGCATTCATGCCAACTGATGTGTCCCGATGTTTTACACATATGTAATGAACCAAAAAAAATCGATTCGTGCTCCTGTAAATCTACGTTTGACAAGTTGGTATCGCTATTTGCTAAAAAAAATCCGGGAGAAGGAGCTCTATAATAAAGGTTTGTTCGGGTTAAGATTGCGTGAATGTGTGTCGTTAAACCCGCCACCATCCGACACAGCCAATTAGTAAGGTTTCTCACGTAAACTAAACGTGCCAATTCGTTACTCGTACAGCACACCGGTGTGTTGGAGAGTAAACCCACTACATTTACAATTACAGTACGATGTTTCGCCGGTAATTACAACAACCAGCCTTGCAAAAATGTGTGTTTAATACGCAGCAAATTGTTCCCAAATATTGAAAGCTTAATAAACGTACGTTTTTGAAATGTATTAGAAAATTTTGCATTCTTTTTTACAAAATATCGGTCGATATATCAGGAATCGGTGAACGAGAACTCTCCAAAATCGGTATCGGCATCGGAGCCAAAAATCTGGCAACGGTCGGGGGCTCTAAAATCCAGCCTTGCTTCGTGCCACGCCGGCTTGGCACAGCCCGCGGAACGCCCACAATTGCTTCTCTGTGTTTGCGTCCTGGTTGTGTCAAAGCGTTGCGCGTGACTTGGTAAACGTACGATGCCGATCCGAAGACCTGCTTCTCGGGCGGCAGCGGCGTGCCGTTGAGGGAGAACACCATTTGCTTCTTGTTGAGGTCCAGGAGAAAGCCGACTGTGTCTCCTGCGGTTACAACAGCGCACACGATAGGTCCCATCTGGCATCATCTCCACATTTACATTGAATGTGCATGCAGAGTATTTGGATGCGATAAAATTCCAGATAAGCCACTTCGTTGAGCCATCATTTGCGACCAGGTCGCTTCTGAAAAAGAGCTACATAAGCTCAGTGGGCCCTTTACCTGGTAAAATAAAAAAAAATAGTTCGTAAGTTCAAGAACAAGACCGTACAAAGCAGTTACCAGAGTAGGTTTCCCAGAAGACGCGTGGCCCAATCGCAACGGCGCTGCGCCCGATGTCATCAGATCGCAAAAATAAAAAAAACCCACTAAACGAATTATTTTGCTGAAGCGGCTGCATTGGCGTTGACAGCAGCGGCGGCTGCCAGGTTCGAATAATTAGCAAAATAAATCGACAATGGCTCAGTTCTTCATGGAAAAAAAAAACGAAGAAGAGTTGAGCCTCCATAGTGCTTGGATGGGTGGACCACTGTGCATAACAAGTTTGCTTGCGAGGCTAACGTGGTGGGGGCAACAGAGGGCAGTGCAGCAACAATCCGTTGTCGTACACTGCACTTCCATGCTCTGTTTCTTCTGCATCCGCCAAAGCCCGCACCGACCAGGACGGTGAAGTACGACCCCCCGACGACACGCACGGCGCGGAATGAACCAAACCCCACCTCCGATTAGCACGCTTGGCTACGTACGGAGCGAAAGACGCTCAACATACATACAAACTTACATACAATCCAGCAGTGGGTGGACGTAAAGCTCCGCACGCGTACCCCGCGCAACGTTCAAACTAAGGGGCTCTTCTCCTCTCGGGTGTGAACGCCGGGACAGGACTCAATCGCGGATCCAAACTGAGAGCGACGGCGCATGGAGTGGGCGCCACGGTGGCGAGACGTTAACTACCCGGTATGCAGGAGGTCGTGGGTTCCATCTCGACTCTTGACGCCTGCTGTATATTTGGAGTTTGCGAGTTCCCCCCAGGGTCGTGTGGATTTTTCTCCGGGTCTCTCGGTTTTTCCCTCCGCATTTAGAATCAGCGTGCAGTTTGGAGTATTTTGCCGCTATACATTTCCACCTGATAAGCCACTTTCGTTGAGCTATCAATTGTGGCCAGGTCGCTTCTGAAAAAGAGCTATGTAGCTCAGTGGGGCATCAACCTGGTTAACAAAATATATATCATTAAAAAATATGTGTTGAAGTTTAGTACCTTCCTTCCAGCAGGGGTGTGCGTGGGGCTTGCTCTTGGCGTTGTACCAAATGAGGCGACGGCACCCGTCGTACGCACACGAGTATTCATCATCTCCGATCCCGTAACCTTCCTGAAGGCGCAGCGGTAGCAGTAGCAGCAGCAGGGGCAGCAGCAACAACAACGGGAGCAACGGTGACATTAGGAACAGCGGCGGCAGCAGCAGCAGCAGCAACAGCAGCGGCAGCAACGGCAACAGCAGCGGCAACAACAGCAGCAGCAACAACAACAGACATAGCAGCAGCAATAGCAGCGGCAACAACAGCAGCAGCAACAACAACAGACATAGCAGCAGCAATAGCAGTGGCAACAACAGCAGCAGCAACAACAGACATAGCAGCAGCAATAGCAGCGTCAACAACAGCAGCAGCAACAACAACAGACATAGCAGCAGCAATAGCAGCGGCAACAACAGCAGCAGCAACAACAGACAAAGCAGCAGCAACAGCAGCGACAGCAGCAGCAACAGCAGCGACAGCAGCAACAACGGCAGCAACAGCGGCAACAACAACACCAACCGCAACAGCAGCGGCAACAACAGCAGCAGCAACAACAGACATAGCAGCAGCAACAGCAGCGGCAGCAACGGCAATAGCAGCGGCAACAACAGCAGCAGCAGCAGCAACAGACATAGCAGCAGCAATAGCAGCGGCAACAACAGCAGCAGCAACAACAGACATAGCAGCAGCAATAGCAGCGGCAACAACAGCAGCAGCAACAACAACAGACATAGCAGCAGCAATAGCAGCGGCAACAACAGCAGCAGCGACAACAACAACAGACATAGCAGCAGCAACAGCAGCGGCAACAACAGCAACAACAACAGACATAGCAGCAGCAATAGCAGCGGCAACAACAGCAGCAGCAACAACAACAGACATAGCAGCAGCGACAGCAGCGACAGCAGCAGCAACAGCAGCGACAGCGGCAACAACAGCAGCAACAATAGCGACAGGAGCGGCAGCAGTAGCAGTAACAACAGCAGTGGCAGCAGCAGCAGTGGCAGCGAGATAAAACCATTGTTGGAGAGGCACAACAGAAAAACACAGCAGAACATGTATTAATATATATTTCAAATACAAATATCCCCCGTATAGCCTTAACAGACTGTTGGGGCAAGTGCTGTTAGCAAGCAGCACCTATGAAGGTAGGCACGGCACACGAGGGGGTGGGTGGCTAACACCACGCCGACCGCCTTTGTCTCCCCAGTGGCGATGTTTACACATCACACCAGGTACTCATTTGAGGCCGAGTCGACCTAGGGGAGGCCCAGGAGCGGTTCAGATAATCGTCACTGGTGGTTGGCCGTGAGTGGGAACCGAACTCGGGTCGCCGGGTTCGTAGCGCAGCGCGCTGACCGCTACTACACTACCGCTCCCCACATATATTCACATATATACACACCACCTCCCCCTAGGGGCAATTGTTGAAATTCAATCGGAATTCAAATGAATTAAACGAGAGCTGGACGGACGACGTTTTTGAAAGTTCGCCACGAATGAGAGCCATGACAAAACCTGGTCCCCCCCCCATGGGCAACATTTCCCTCTCACACCGACTTGGCCACAAGGTGTCAGCAGGCACTGCACACCCCCTCCCCCCCTCCGCAGCAAACGAAACTGGCGCTACTCACTTTAATACTTTATTATTGAAACTGGCGCTGCCCGCTCGCGCGATCGCGTCAACAGCCATGACCGCTGCTGTGTCCGTTGAGAAGAGAGAGAGGGGACTTCTTCGCCAAATGAACCAACCGACTGATTTTAAAAATTGAGGTTTCAGGAATTTGGGGTGAGATCGCGTAAACACATCCATCAACTCATTTCTTTAGAACTTTTTTTTTCGAATTTAGTTTGTTGTCCTTCCCCCCCCGCACCTCAGATAAGCACGGTTGGCTACGTACGATATAAAATAGGTTCAACATAGATACATACATAAACTCACACAGAGACCCATAGTTTACTGTCCTTCCCCCCCCCCCGCACCTCCGATATTCGCTTGGTTGGCTACGTACGGTGCGAAAGAAGTTTCACGTACATAAAATGTGTAATTAACCCACGACACCACCCGGCACGGCCAATTACGTCATCTTGCTCTATTTAAGAGCGGAAGTTGGAAGGCTTCTTCATAATTCTGGCAAATCGCCTGACGAAGCTGGTTGTAATCACCAGCGAAACGTTGAACTCAACTGTAATTGTTGTGGGTTTACTCACCATCACACCGACGGTGCTGAAGCAATAGCTAATTGGAACGCTTTATTCACATTACTAATTGGCTGTGTCGGGTGGTGGTGGGTTAACGACACATTTATATTTACGCGATCTTTAAAACCCAAAAACCTTTATTATGAATAATATTGTTCGGGAAAGCCTGCTACGTGTTAAAATGACCGACTGACATCGGGACCAGCTCTACACGGGACACCGGCGTGTCCCGTGAATAGATGGGACAAGTGTGAAAATGTTTAAGTTGCACACAAAGACAATGATCCCCCCGATAGCTTTAACACTGTTGGGGAAAGTGCTGTTAGCGAGCACCTTTGAAGGCCGGCACGGCACACGAGGGGGGGGGGGGGGTAGCCAACACTACGCCTGGCCATCTTTGTCTCTCCAGTGGCAATGTTTTTACACACCGCACCAGGTACTCATTTGAGGCCGAATCGACCTAGGGGAGGACCGGGACCGGTTCAGATAATCGTCACCGGTGTTGGCCGTGAGTGGGAATCGAACTCGAGACGCTGTAGCGCAGCGGCTACACTACCGCTCCCCACACTCATGCACAAACACACGCACATACAGTCTCACGCACACACTCACTCACGCACACACTCACTCACGCACATACAGTCTCACGCACACACTCACTCACAGTCTCACGCACACACTCACTCACGCACTCACTCACTCACACACACTCCCTCTCCGTAGAGGTTCCGCGCCGCCGTTACGTGTGTGTGTGCGCGCGTGCGCAGCTCACGTGGTTGAGGAACTTGCTGTTCTTCGTTGCCCAGCCGATCTGCATGACGCCGCATGTCACGACCATCACCTCGTAGTACCACACGCCCGAGTCCACGCAGAACGTGCAGCGCACGCTCTCAAACGACGACGCGTCGCACCGCGCCTGCCACAGACAAAGAACCCCCCCCCCAAATAGCTTTAAACAGACTCTTGGGGCAAGCGCCGTTCGCGAGTAGCACACGAGCGGATTTGGTGGCCAACAACCACGCACGGCCGCCTTTCGTCTCCCCGACGTTTACACGGCGTGCCAGGTACTCATTTAAAGCCCAGTCGACCTAGCGGATGCCCAGGATCTTGTCTGATATTCGTCACCGACGGTGGCCGCGAGCGGACTTTGAACTCGGGTCGTCGGGTTCGCAACGCGGCGCGCCAAGGCACCGCGCCGCCGTTCCCCGCAGGGCAACGCGTGCGTACGCGCGGCACGGCACGGAGCCGGAGAGACGGCACGCCGCCGGGAGACACCCAGGGAAGTTTCCCGAGGAAGCAAAGGGCTTCCGGTGCGAGGCCTACACGTAACCACAGACACGCATGTACATTATTATTACCGACCAAATTTGGAGACGAACCGAATCAAGCCACAAGGGATTTTCACGTACAAATCGCCCCAATGATGTTGCATGTAATTACCGGCGAAACGTCGTACTACTCAAATTGTAAATGTTGTGGATTTACTCTCCAACACACCGGTGGGCTGAAGGAGTAACTAATTGGCGTTTTGTTTACGTGACAAATCCCTTACTAATTGGCTGCGACTGGCAGTGGAGCGTTACGACACGTATATATTTATACGCAATATAACCCAAAAACCTTCATCATGAATAAGATTGGTCGAAAAAGCCTGCTCCGTGTGAAACTGAGCATTTATTTTCCCTACCTCCGATTGGCACGGTGCGAAAGAAGTACAATTGTGCTAATCGAAGGTTAGCACGGAGGTCGTGGGTTCAATCCTGACCCCGACACCTGCTGTATATTTGGAGTTTGCATGCGTCTCTCCCCGTGTTCGCGTGGATTTTTCTCCGGGTCCTCCGGTTTTTCCCTCTACATAATAATTGAGCATTTGGCTGTGATAAATTTCCACGTGATAAGCCAACTTTGTTAACCTATCATATGTGGCCAGGTCGATTCTGGGCCTTAACCTGATCAAATAAAAAAATAGTTATTTAATAATGTAACCACCTCAGATTGGTCTCTTGGCATCTCCGCTCTGTTCTCATTTAAACCACTAAAGTTTAAGTGTGAATGTAATTTTATAACATAATCGCTATTCTTATAAAAATATATAAATATCTGTTATTGTGGAATGCTTTGACGTCATCTGCCGGCCGAGCCGCTCTTGAAGAAGAGCTGCTTAGCTCTTCGGCTTGACTCGGGAAAAAAACACTCCTGGTTCTGATTCCTTTGCTCACGCGTGTTGTCTGCGTTGCGTGTATTGTGTGCGTTGCGTGCGTTGGACTGTGTTGTGCGTGCCTTGCGTTGTGTGCACGCACTGTGTTGTGCGTGTGCGTTCTGTGCGTGCATTGTGTGCGAGCGTTGCGTGTGTGCCGAGTGAACCCCAGCGAATCCTACCTCGAGGCCGTGCGTGTGCACGTTGTGTGCGCGCATTGCGTGCGTGTGTTGCCTGCATGCGTTGTGTGCGTGCGTTACGTGCGTACGCCGTGTGCGTACGTTCCATGCGTGCGTTGCACTGCGTTGCATGTGTGCCGAGTGCATCCCAGTGAACCCTACCTCAAGGCCGTGTGGCGATATCTTGAGGTACTCGCTCACGTCGTTGCTGTTGAGCATCGCGCTGATCCCGCTCAGGTCCACCTGCTCGTACGTGAACTGCCGCCCCTCCTTCACGACTGCGCCCGCGCGCAGCGACGTGGCCAAGGAACGCAAAGCGCAAGGCAGGAGTGAGGAGGTCAGCTGTCTGTGTGGGGATCTTAGCCGTACTCATCGGTTACTAGAGGACAATAATTTATACCGGCCGCGGTTCATCTCATCAAGGAGCATAAACGAACTCCGGTTGTTCTCGGATTTTGCCGAGCCATCAAACAAAGATGGTCAACGCATCGCGCGCTTTCGGCTGTGCTTCTGTATCCGTCTGGAACGCTCTTCCTTCCGATATTAGCGAGCCACTGGAGCTATGCCCTGAGAGCAATTGCTTAAGGGCGCTTTATGAATCTTGATTTGAAGCTTTCGTGACTGCAGGAATCCACGCTCTTTGATTCTTTCGGTAAAGTCACGTAGGTAGAAATAAAACAAAATAAATCACGACGTTTCGATAGCAGCACAAGCCATCGCTGCCTTGTGAAAGGCAGCAGACATCGTGCTGCTCACAGCATCGTCTTCAAGTGAAAATCACGATAGCCGCGATGTCTGCTGCCTTTCACAAGGCAGCGATGGGCTTGTGTTGCTATCGAAACGTCGCGATTTAAATTTGTATTTCTACCTATGTGACTTTACCGAAAGAACCAAAGAGTATGCGCTTTATAAATTTAAATGATTATTATTTCTCATTAAATCTAGATTTAAAACTAATTTCGTCAGAACTGCTTTTCTGTGTTTAGTTTGTTGTCCTTCCCCCACACCTCCGATTCGCACGATTGGCCACGTGAAATGCGAAAATGAAGTTCAACACACAAGCGTATATTGACCTTGTGAACAGGTGCACGAGTGACTGAATTATAACGAATGAATGAGTGAATTAACCCAATGTAGGTGGTGTCCACTGGTCGCTGTTGTGTGGGTGCGGAGTGCTAAGCGTCGAGGAGGCGCCACAAAATCAGAATCTGTATTCATACCGCGGGAATCGCAGACGTCCCGTGGACACGGACAGGGCCACCTCACAGCTGAGCAGAGTCGGTGACTCTTCACAGATGACTGTCAGCCGCGCGTCGACATCGGTATACGTTACAAATATTCGCCTCGACAAAGTTTCCACGTTATTATTGGACGCCGCTGAGGTGCGCGTTAACGTGCGGCCCCGTAAAAAAGGTATTTGTGAGTCCTATGATACAATACTCCCTCGGCTAACAGTGACATTGGTTCACGGTTTTTCGGTGAACGTTTTCGCCTTCCATAGGACCACACATAATTTTTTTTAATCCGGCACGCCCTTCCCCCTCCGAAGCCGCCTGATAATCGATGATTGACAGCAAGTTGATAGTCGATGATCAATTCAGTAAGTTGATAATCGATGATCAACTAAGTGTATCAGGATCCGACAGGGAAGTGTTGAAGGCCTTGGTGCTTACAGAGATTGTCGAGGCACCACTGGGCACAGAAGCCGACCTGGCGTCGCGCAAACTCCGGGCTGTTCACCCACGCCTCCAGCACCTTGAGCTGCTCGGAGATCCGCGAGCGACCCACCGTCACCTTGTTCTCCGCTGGCGCGCGCGGTCGGGAGGGGTGAGCGACAACAGCACGCACGGGTCGCTAACAGGACAGGCTCGGGGGAGGGTGCCGCACGTGAACGCCCCCCCCCCCCCCCCGCCCCCCCCAGCAAGGCGCCGAGTTAAGAAGCTTTTTGTGTGTTTAGTTTGTTTTCCTTCCACTGCCCGCCCCCCCCCCATAGCAACCTCTGATTAGCACGGTTGGATTCGTATACGAAGCTAAAGCAGTTCTACGTATGTATACATATACGTACGTACGTTTAACTTCTATAGCTTCGTACAATGGAAGTGCCACCACTCGGCAAACAAACACGGGGATAGAAATGATATGAATCTGGAATCAGACACAGACTCGACGAACGTGACCACAACCAACGCCACGAGGTGCCGTTTTAAAATGGGTTTTTTTAAAAGGGCAGGGATTTCATTTTGCAAGTGTCGTGACGGGTACTGCAAGATCGGACCATGTCCGGACAATGCTCGCTGACATGCATTGGCTTCCGTTTGCTGAACGAACACACGATGAGGTTGCACTCATTACACACAAAGTGCTTGCAACATATTTACACAAACCGTCCAGTGCTCATGTGAGTAGTGCACATGTGAGTTAAGTAATTACACGTACTGCCCAGTGATCGTGTGAGTAAAGTACTTACACGTACTACCCCAGTGCTCGTGTGAGTAAAGTACTTACACGTACTGCCCAGTGCTCATGTGGGTAAAGTACTTACACGTACTACCCAGTGCTCATGTGAGTAAAGTACTTACACGTACTACCCAGTGCTCATGTGAGTAAAGTACTTACAAGTACTGCCCCAGTGCTCGTGTGAGTAAAGTACTTACACGTACTGCCCCAGTGCTCGTGTGAGTAAGTACTTACACGTACTACCCAGTGCTCAAGTAAAGTACTTACACGTACTGCCCCAGTGCTCGTGTGAGTAAGTACTTACACGTACTACCCAGTGCTCAAGTAAAGTACTTACACGTACTGCCCCAGTGCTCATGTGAGTAAAGTACTTACACGTACTGCCCAGTGCTCGTGTGAGTAAAGTACTTACACGTACTACCCAGTGCTCGTGTGAGTAAAGTACTTACACGTACTACCCAGTGCTCGTGTAAGTAAAGTACTTACACGTACTGCCCAGTGCTCGTGTGAGTAAAGTACTTACACGTACTACCCAGTGCTCGTGTGAGTAAAGTACTTACACGTACTGCCCCAGTGCTCATGTGAGTAAAGTACTTACACGTACTACCCAGTGCTCGTGTGAGTAAAGTACTTACACGTACTGCCCCAGTGCTCGTGTGAGTAAAGTACTTACACGTACTGCCCCAGTGCTCGTGTAAGTAAAGTACTTACACGTACTGTCCAGTGTTCATGTAAGTAAAGTACTTACACGTACTGTCCAGTGTTCATGTGAGTAAAGTACTTACACGTACTGCCCCAGTGCTCATGTGAGTAAAGTACTTACACGTACTGCCCCAGTGGTCGTGTGAGTAAAGTACTTACACGTACTGTCCAGTGCTTGCCGAGCTGCGTTGGCTTCCAGTTACCGAACTAATACATTGTAAGGTCACGCTTGTTTACACGCCAAGTGCTCGCCACAAATGAACAGCGATACCTCGCCGATCTCGTCAAGAAGCATAAACCATCATCACGCAAACTCCGGTGGTCATCCTCGCAGCAGAGGCTCACGGCTCACCATCGAACAAAGACTGTCACCGCAATCGCGAGATTACGGATGCGATTCTGCGACAGTCTGGAACGCTCTTAGGAAGCCACTTTTAAATCTAGATTGAAAACGCAATTCTTGAGAAATAATTTTCGTGTTTAGTTTGTTGTCCTTCCTCCGCACCATCAATGAGCACGGTTGGCTACGTATGGTGCGAGAGAAGTCCTACATACATATATATACAACATACATGCCAGGCACAAGTGGTAATCGTGATTCGAGGGGTAACTCACTCGTTTGAGCGAATTTTTCCAGCGCGATGAGAGAGAAGAGAATCACCGTGGGATGGGACTGCAGGTTCTGTGGAGATAACATAATGCGTTTAGTGTTTGGCTCCTATAGATGCCCATGCCACTTCGTTGAGCGATCATTTGTGGCCAGGTCACTTCTGAAAAAGGACTGTATAAGCTCTGTGGGCCTTGCCTGGTAAAACGAAAAATTGTTTAGTTTAAAAAAATATCGAATAGTCTGTGCTCCGAGGCATTTGTTCCGGTATGGGGCGCATTACAAATGTGCACTCTTGTTGTTATTGTGTAAATCATGGGGGAGCTTTGTAACCAAAGCAGTCCACCAACCCCTCCTCGTTTGAAATGCACAACAGCCGACTGGCGCCTGTCTGTGCAGCCCAAAAAACTGAATGCACGGGAAAATCCCTCCCCACTGGATACTTGATAGCATGCGTTTTCCCAACGCGATGAAAATAATACAAGCATTAGTCTTTCAAAAAATAACAATAAAGCATTTAACTACCTCGAGTCTATTAATAATAAATATCCACTCATGTAAGTAGGCAGGAGCATCTTAAATTATTAAACAAGTGACACTCATTACAGCTTAAAATTACCAACAGCGGTACAATATGCAGCAGGAGGCTCGACCGGCATTGCGTGCTCTGAACGACTACTTTAGAGATGCCTGCTGCTGACTCCTGCTTGCTAAGCACGCTTCCTACAAGTAGCCGTGATGCAGGCGTGTGGTGTGAACGGTGTAGATCTGGCGAGTTCTTCACTTCAATAAGCTGCTGGAGGAGAGCGGGGGGTTGAATGATAAGGATGCACGCGCAGGTGATGGGAGTTGGCAGGTTTTCGGGAAGAATGACGCGGACAGTTCGAGAGTCAAGTTGATTTTGTAGAACCATGTGCGGACTCGCAGAAACCAGGATGAGTCTCGTTTGCGAGGGCGACCCGTGGATTCAGTTGCAGGTTCAAATCCCAGCCAGGGGGTTTGGACTCGGCCGATCATAAAAATGTACCACTTTGTGGGAGGTCAACAGTGATTTTCCTACAGATAGACTTGGATCCCACCATGGGAAAGTTCACCAAATGGCTCGGGGCCTTCACAACAGAGAGAGATGCTTCGTTGAAGACGGAGACACGCCGTCTCGTAGCAGGACGAACGCCCGTTGAGTCACCACCAAGAGTTCACCGAATGATGTTTGCGGGACAGCGTTAGTGCGTCGCAGCGACCACTGCGGCGGTACACGAGCTGAGAAGCTCCTCCACTGTGCATACGCTGTGGGGCGCCACGGTGGCGAGATGTTAACTACCTCACCTGGTATACAGGAGGTTGTCAGTTCGATCCCGACCCTGACGATGCCTATGTATTTGGAGTGTGCATGTCTCTCTCACCGTAGTTGCGTGGATTTTTCTCCGTGTCCTCTGGTTTTTCCCTCCACATTTAGAATCACCATGTGTTTAAGAGTATTTGGCTGCTATAAAGCCTCTTCCTTGAGCTGTCATTTGTGGCCACGTTGCTTCTGAAAAGGAGCTACAGTATATATCTCCGTGGGGACTTATCTTGTAAAATAAAACGAGTTCTTAGTTTGACTCTCTCCCCACTCGTTATCGTTTTCATTCAATCATCGTGCATAGCGACCACTGCGGCGGTACACGAGCTGAGAAGCTCCTCCACTGTGCATACGCTGTGGGGCGCCACGGTGGCGAGATGTTAACTACCTCACCTGGTATACAGGAGGTTGTCAGTTCGATCCCGACCCTGACGATGCCTATGTATTTGGAGTGTGCATGTCTCTCTCACCGTAGTTGCGTGGATTTTTCTCCGTGTCCTCTGGTTTTTCCCTCCACATTTAGAATCACCATGTGTTTAAGAGTATTTGGCTGCTATAAAGCCTCTTCCTTGAGCTGTCATTTGTGGCCACGTTGCTTCTGAAAAGGAGCTACAGTATATATCTCCGTGGGGACTTATCTTGTAAAATAAAACGAGTTCTTAGTTTGACTCTCTCCCCACTCGTTATCGTTTTCATTCAATCATCGTGCATAGTCGGCGAAGGATCATCACGCCGAACGCGTACCCCTTGCGACAGCGTCCGCATGAACCGCTCTTTGCTGCTGTACACTGGCGTGTCTCCAGTGATTTATTTGATCCACGGATTACGGGGGGGGGGGGGGGGGGACCACAGGGGGTGGCAGCGCCATTCGTTTGAGAGTCGCAGTTCCAATTCCAATGTCGACCAGCAACCAAATTGAGCGCAATTGCTGCGGGAGTTTGCGCATAAAGCCGGGGGCGACGGTGGTGACCGTCATCTCCCTCTCGAACCGAGCTCTCGATCACTAGGAGACCGGTCACAGATGCAATGGTGGACATTTCTGACGAAATTGAACCATCGGATATCTCCCGTCCTGTGCCCTCTCCTCGCCCATCCCTTTGCTTGGCTCTTCAACTCACCCCTAATTTTGCTACATCACGGCCAGGGACTACAGCGGAATGTCTACTCGTGCGCTGACCATCACGTGACTGTTCGTGTTGCTAAAAATCTGAAATTTATATATATAAACACAGTAAAACCTTGCCCATCGAGGCAGGGGGTTACGTTCTAGAAAATAGCCGCAAATCCGCGATCCGTAAAACTGAAAGGAGCGTCACGGTCAACCGCAAATGGTCGAACCACGGGGGGTGCGATCGGCGACCTGTACCTCTATAAATTTTGCACGAATGATCAAATCGGTGGTGGGAAAACCAGCGTTGGGCCAGGTTGTGGTACATACGTAGTTATGTGTTTAACGGGGCAGCATTAACAATTGCAGAGCATCTACGTAACGATACGGAGCTTACCAGGCTCTCGAGCAGGTAGCCGAGTGTTCCCGGAGACAGCAGGGCGATGCTTGTGGGACCTGCAAGGACATGTGTATATATAAAACATAGAATTATTTTTCCACTTGTAAACCCAGGGAAGGCCTGCCAAAGGATGGCACACATTACCACACACACACACCTTTCCTTTAACACATCTTGTAGTCGGTTTCACACGTGTTGGTAGTAGGGTTTCGCGACCAATATTATTATCCATAAGGGGTTTTTTTGTGGGTTAGAGTGCGTAAATATAAATGTGTCGTTAAACCCACCACCACCTGACACAGCCAATTAGTAAGGTTTGTCACGTAACCAAAACGTGCCAATTAGTTGCTAGTTCAGCACACCGGTGTGACGGAGAGTAAACCCACTACAACATTTACAATTCCAGTACCGTGACATTACACCGGTGATTACAACTGGCCTCATCAGGCAACAGCCAGATTTGTGAGAGAAATCCTCCTGTTTCGGTATTAAATAGAGGGATGAACGTGACGTCATCACTTATGAGCCAATCAGGTGTAAGAAGACCAGTGTCTCTCATTTTACGATGATAATAATAATAGTAGTAATAATTCATTTGCCCAGAAGAGCCGTGCCGAGTCCAAAGACACGATTTTCAGCAGGGATCCTGCTACATTGGGGTGTTTGGCCAAACACCAATGACTTTGTATGTTTTTTTTGTCCTCTACAACAGACCAGAGAACACAGTGGCAACCCATGCAGCAAAAGGGGGGGGGAGGACATACAAACTCCAACATAGCAAGGTGACCAAAGTCGGGAATCGAATCCAGGCACCCCCCCTCTTGATACGAGGCGCGAGCGTTAACCGCCTTGCCACCCTCGTTGCCTTTGGAGCGACTCTCCCTCTGCGTGCCTCGGGAATGTCCGAGGAACCCGTTAGAGTCCTCAAAAAGTGCCAGTGGCCAGTCGCGTGAAACGTCTTCAAATCGCCCTCAACCAACACCGGATTTAAAGGGGAGAAGAGCGGAGCGAATGTTGCCATTTGCTAGAAGGCGACCGGGCCTAGACGTGTAGGGCTGCGGGCAGGGTGGGCGTGGTAGTGCCCGCGCGGTGCTGCGCTGTTGTGGGGCGGGTAGGGGTGGGTGGGGGCGGGTAGGGGCGGGTGGGGGCGGGTAGGGGCGGATAGGGGCGGGCGGGCGGGCGCTTACCGGCGAGCTTCTCGGCGAGGCAGCCCAGCACGGCGGCGGTGTTGCGGTGGCGCGCCGGGTTGGACAGGTCCGTGCGTGCCACCTGCTCGTCCAACTGCAGGATCTCAGACAGGCGCAGCAGGGACTCCTGCACAAAGACAAAGAGATCACCCACGATAGTCTTAACGGACATTCTGGGGCAAGTGAAAGTGCCGTCAGGGAGTAGAAGCACCCATGACGGCCGGCGCGGTTTCACAAAGGGGGTTGGGTGGCCGAAAGCCACGTCCACCCGCCTTTGCCTCCCCAGTGGCAACGTTCACACACCGCAGCGGGTACTCATGACTTGAGGCAGAGTCGACCGTGGTGACTGACGGGAGACGGTCGTAGACTCTCCGCACTTCTGACGGCTAAATCAGTTCGATCGCGTGCGGCCTCCACGTATCGCGAGACAGGACCTCGGCGGCAGCGGCGGCGGTGGCCCTGCGCTCTGACAAGGGAGACGGCATGGGACCCCCGGGCGGACCACATTGGTCCTCTCTTCTTTCCGTAAGGTTGCTGATGTAGACGCAGAGCAACAACTTACAAGCTCACATTCAGGTGGTCAAGCCCAGATAACCGCATCAGGGGTCATGGTGGCGAGATGGGGCGCCATGTCGGCAAGATGTTCACTACCTCACTTGGTATGCAGAAGGATTCGATCTCGACCCTTAACGCCTGTGGTCACGTGGATTTTTCTCCGGGTCCTCCGGTTTTTCCGTCTACATTTAGCAACATGCATTTAGAGCATTTGGCTGCTATAAATTTCCACGTAATAAGCCACTTCGTGGAACTATCTTTTGTGGACAGGTTGGTTATGAAAAAGAGCTACATAGCTCAGTGGGGGGCCTTACCTGCTAAAAGTAAATTAAAAAGTTGAGTTTGGTTTTAAGTTTAGTATCTCTGTGATGTCTCCTTCATATTTGTGGATGGGGACATCGCGTCAATGTCTATGTTGACACCTTGGTGGGGAGAGGGCACTCGTCCAGCAGGAGGGTGATGACGGCAGGGCCCAGGGGATCGTCCAGAGGAATCACCCGGATGAGCGACTGCACCAGCTCCAGCCATCCGGGCTCTACGTCACACAACACAAAGACAAAGAGATCCCCAGCCATCCCGGCTCAACGTCACACAAAGACAAAGAGATCCCCAGCCATCCGTGCTCAACGTCACACAAAGACAAAGAGATTCCCAGCCATCCCGGCTCAACGTCACACAAAGACAAAGAGATCCCCAGCCATCCCGGCTCAACGTCACACAAAGACAAAGAGATCCCCAGCCATCCCGGCTCTACATCCCTCCCTCCCTATAGCCTCAGCAGACTTTTGGGGCAAGTGCTGTTAGCGAGTACATCCCCGGGAGGGTCACATCTGCGAGGGTTTCTTTTGGGGCCGTGTCTTCCTGCGGGACCTTCCCATTTCGCACCTCCGATTAGCACGGTTTGCTATGTACGGCCCGCAAGAAGTTCAACATACACCCATACAAATTTTAGGGTTGAAAACCACCAGACTCGCTAAATGGCTGGGGAGTTTTGTGGTGCTATGAGTAAAGCATGCCACCAGTTCAAATCCCAGTTGGAGATTTGTTGGTTAGGACTCGATAAAAATGAGCACAGTGAAGCCGTATTTTTAACCCTCCGATTTCTTTCATCATCCCCGTCTAATTTTCTAGATCCCAAATAATCGCACTGCGAATCTCGATGACCTTTCACCTTCGTATATAAAATAAGGGTACTCTGTAATGCTAATGTTTACCTGCAGGGATTGAGTCAGCAATGGAGGGGGCTTCTTTCTGAGACCCAACAATACGTTTTATTGGTCTGAGAATGATACATACGGTGCACAGAGGGACGGTGGGTAAACACCTCACCTTGCTCCGCCAGCTCGTGCAGGGCCATCATGGAGTACGGGGGCTCCTGGTCACTGCAAGGTGGCACATGGCACAGCGGCGGCGAGCATGGTTATTAAACATAACTCGCCTTTTGTCGGTCCAAGGACGGGTGTGTTGCAGTAAATCTGAAACTTGCAAGCGAAAAGCAGACCGCGACGTGGTATTCATTGCATCAATGCGCGTGAAATTTGTAAGGCCGCGGTGACACAGACTTGTTTCATTTGGAGGTTATAATCCCTTGTTCATCACGACGTCCTTTTTACTTCAATGTCTCAATAGCGTTACGGAAATCACGTGTCGTGAGGGTTCTGCCTTTGTAGCGAGGGTTGCGAGTTGACGCTGAGGAGGGGGGAGGAGGCGCCTCGCCGTCCCATGTGGAGTGACGTAACCCGATCATGATTATTAATGAAGGGAGGGGTGTGGCATGTGGAGTGACGTCACCCGCTCATGATTATTAATGAGGGGAGGGGTGCGGCATGTGGAGTGCGCGACCTTCTTTATATTCACGTGTAAATTTCCACATGAATATTAATTAAGTGGGGGGCCTCTTTTGCAGTGACGTCACGCACGGATGTAGCACTTTGCGCAATAAATTAATTCAGCTGGACCTTCCTCTGCATTAGTATAAAAATCCACCCACTCATGAACATTAATGAGGGGGGGTGGGCCTCATGTGGAGTGACGTCACGCGGGGGGGGGGTGGGCCTCATGTTGAGTGACGTCACGCGGGGGGGGGGTGGTGGGCCTCATGTTGAGTGACGTCACGCGGGGGGGGGGGTGGGCCTCATGCTGAGTGACGTCACGCGCGGGACACACAGACATTCTTGGCTCATTATAGTAGAGTATAATGTCAACGGCGTGACGGCGCAGCGGTTGCAATATCCGATTCTGTAAAAGTGTCGGGGCCATCTCCATTAGCGAGCAGCCGTTTAAGGCTGGCACGGCACGCGTCTGGAGTGGTGCGGAAATGTACCGTGCACGGAATTGGTAGAGTACTCATTTAATGCCGAGTCAACCTAAGGGAGGGCCCAGTATCGGTCCAGACAAACGTCAGTGATGTTGGCCTGCAAGCAAGTGCGTTGTGCGATACGTCACCATTCACCACAACCCACAGACACCTATGCAAAGACTGACTTATTACGTAACATTATCGTGTAACTCAATTTTATCGTGGCAAAACTCAAGTTTTGCCATCTTAGATGCCACCAACAAGTTAAATATTCTGTCTGGGCCCATGGACAAAGATCCCCCGTATAGCCTTAAGAGACTGCTGGGGGCAAGTGCTGTTAGTGAGCACCTATGAAGGCCGGCACGGCACACGAGGGGGTGGGTAGCCAGCACCACGCCCAACCGCCTTTGTCTCCCTAGAGGTAATGTTTACACACCGCACTAGGTACCGATTTGAGACTAAGTAGACCTAGGGGAGGCCCAGGACCGGTTCAGATAATCGTCACTGGTGTTGGCCGTGAGCGGGAATCCAATTTTGGTCGCCAGGTTCGTAGCACAGCACGCTAACCGCTACACTACTGCTCCGTCCAAACACATACACATAGAGACGCACTATTTTCTCCGCTTCCACACCTGTAAACACACAAGCGCACACACACGTCAGCTGCGCCCGCCCTTACTTGTCCAAAGGCAACGATAATTCAAATCTGCAAATGACGGGCAAACCCATCGGAACAGAAACATTAGTGCAGAAAACAAATAGATTTAATGGCCCTGTGATGGGTTTTCTCTTTCATTTGCAGGCAAGGGCGAGCGGGTGTCCACATAGCCCCGGGGTCAGCAACCTGCGGCTCCGGAGCCGCACACAACTCTTCAAGGACCCATACTCTTTGGTTTTTTGATACAGGTAATTTTGCTGTGTCTATTCCACCTGAAGACAGAAGCTTGTGTTGCCTCCGAAACGTCGTGATGTAATTTAGTTTTCATTTATTTTATTTTACCTACGTGACTTTACCGAAAAAACCAAAGAGTATGAATCCTTGCAGTCACGAAAGTACCGCCGCTCCGTGACGTTATTTATCAAGGGCCCACCGTCTCCGCCACCACGGTGCATCGCGGCTCTTGAAATAGAGGGGTCGTTTAAACCGAATTAGAAGAAAATGGCTCTTCTTGTTACTTTGGTTGCCGACCCCTGCCCTAGCCTAAAGGTGAAAGCCCCCTCCCATATAGAGGGCTCCCAGAGGCATGTGGCAGCAGCGAACGTTGACGACTGCACTGTGCTGTTCTGATGAGTCCTAAAGAGGATGAAACCCGTCTACGGTTGTGTCTTTGTGTCGCTGCTGCCCGTCGGGAGGGCAACGTTTTCTCGAGTATGTTGAACTTCTTTCGCGGCGTACGTAGCCAACCGTGCTAATCGGGGGAAGGACAAACTAAACACAAAAGGAATTTCCAAACAGAGTTTGCCAATCTAAAATGATGTAAAAGTGCACAACTCCCAGTGGCGTCCTAATATCAGACAGAAGAGCGTTCCAGACGGCCGCGGGAAGCGCCGCGCGATAAGCTGGTGGTTCTGAACGACGCCGACGCCGACGATGACATTACGGCCGCACATTCGGTTCCGTTGAGCCGGTGGTCTGGCGGGGGTGTGGGGGGGGGGTCTGGTTGCCCTCACTTGTCCACGAGCGTGCGGATGAGGTTGAGCGTCTCCAGCACGAGGCCGTCCACGTTGAGCTTCTTGCGCGGCGGGTCGCTGGGCCCCCTGCCGCGACGCGGCGGGCGGCTCAGGTCCCGCGAGCGCGAGCGCGTCACCCCGCCCCCGTTGGCCACGCCGGCGGCGGCGGCGGCGGAAGGAGGGGCCGCCCGACCGCCCCCACCACCACCACCGGCACGGGCCCCCGGAGAGCCCCCGTCACGGCCGCTCCCCTCGTCCTGCTCGTCCACCTCCTCCTGGATATGCGAGCACGTACAAAAAACTAAGACAAAGATCCCCTGTATAGCCTGAACAGACAGCAGCAACAGCAGCAGCAGCAACAGCAGCGACAGCAGCGACAGCAACAGCGGCAACAATAGCAACAACAACAGCAGCAACAATAGCGACAGGAGCGGCAGCAGTAGCAGTAACAACAGCAGTGGCAGCAGCAGCAGTGGCAGCAAGATAAAACGATTGTTGGAGAGGCACAACAGAAAAACACAGCAGAACATGTATTCATATATATTGCAAATACAAAGATCCCCCGTATAGCCTTAACAGACTGTTGGGGCAAAGTGCTGTTAGCGAGCACCTATGAAGGCCGGCACGGCACACGAGGGGGTGGGTGGCCAGCACCATGCCCGAACGCCTTTGTCTCCCCAGTGGCGATGTTTTTATCCACCGCAGCAGGTACTCATTTGAGATCGAGTCGAACTAGAGGAGGCCCAAAACCGGTTCAGATAATCGTCACTGGTGTTGGCCGTGAGCAGGAATCGAACTCGGGTCGCCGGGCTTCGCAGCGAAGCGCGCTAACCACTGCGCCACTGCTCCCAGTACACAAACACACACGCGCACACACGCACACTCCTCGGTCGATTTGCTTTTGGGTCTCATGTCTATTTGCTTCATTGTTGTTCCCCTTTGTTGTCACTGCTCCTGTTGTTTCCGCGACCCGGGGTCACTCCCGCAAATGAGACTCGTCCCAACGTCTTGAGTTCTCAGCTCGGTAAACGTCAACTTGAAACTTGAATGTATATTGATTCATACGTCCAGAGAATGCAAAATGGAGTTTCTTTTTCTTATAAATTTTTGTTTGTTTTACTCGTCGATGCTCCACGGCAAACGCCGTCGTGCATTTGGTGCCGAATACCCACGCGCGTACACAGGTGTGACCGTAGCCAAAGTCACCCTCAATCCACACAGATCTTGTCAGGTGTTAGGAGCTAAGCAGGGGGGGGCTTGAGCCTGGACGGTGCGTGAATGAGTGACCACAATGTATAACATTTCATAACATCGACGCCGTATGGGCACTTACATACGAGCGCATCATTGTGTTCCGACTTACGAACTGTTTGACTTACGAATGGGTGTCAGCAACGAATTGTGTTCGTAAGTCAGGTGACCGCCCGTATTTGGGGTTTATCGGCGGTGGGTGGTGGCGTGCAGCGAAAACGCACACAGACACACACACACATACACACAACAACAACAACCGCCATTCGCCACTAAGTGGCAGTGACGTCACCACGACGCTTGTGCCAGGCTATGTGCACCTTGAGGCCACGTGAAGTATCGAATGCCCGCTGGCAGGAGGTCACAGGTTGACTGACTGAGATGACTAGCTGATGCACCTGTGCCCCCTACTGTGCCAACTTGCTGTGCTTTAGCCACCCGGCACTCCGCTCGTTGTTGCGAGCGTCGCTCCTCCACCCTCCATTGTTGTTGGAGGGCGACTGCCTCCAACTGCCCAGTAGCGTCCTTCACGAGCCTACTGCAGAGGCCGATCTTGACACCGCTGGTACCAGTCATTGGCAAGTCCACTCAGCCCTACGTCCTCCTGTACCACATCACTACATCTCTTCTCTAGCACGTGCCGCGCCCGTTTAGCCCCCTCGATCCGGTTGAACAAAAGCTGTTTAGGCATGCGGTGGCTGGGCATGCGGGCTACATGACCCAGCCAACGCAGCCTTGCCTGCCGGAGGAGCTTACCGATGGGACTTGGTCCACATCTTTCATAGAATTGTGAGCTCCTCACACAATCCAGCCTAGTTAAACCAAGGATGGATCGTAGGTAGGCCAGCCTAAATGTTTCTAACCGGCGAAGATGTTCCATTAGGGGGGTCCACGTTTCGCAAGCGTAGAGAAGGGAGGGAATGACCGTGGCCGAGAAGACCTGAAGCTTTGTGCGGAGTGATAGACCAGGTAGCTTCCACACAGCGTTACGCAACCGATGAAAAGATAATGTCGCTCGACTGATTCGGAGTGAGACCTCTGCTGTTAAACCAGAGCCGGTCATAAGCACACTGCCAAGGTATGGGAAACTTTCCACTCTCTCCACAACTGCCCTATCACCAATAGGGAGTTGAGGGGATGGAGTGTCTGACGGTACAAAATGCCCAGGCAGGTGCTTGGTTTTGGTGGGGCTGATGGTAAGACCTCTTGGTGGCAAGCTCCAGGTTCAGCAGCAGCGCCTCCAACTCCTCCTCTTAGTGAGCAGTACTTACCAGATCATCGGCATACATAACGTGGTTGAGCAATAGGGAGCCATCCCTTGACCGCACCCGGGCATCGATCAGCCTCCCATTGTATCTGTACCAAATGGAAATACCTCTTGTACAGCTATTGAAGGCTTCAAGAAACTACGTGGTCAAAATAGATGTTAAATAATGTGGGAGCCAGACGACATCCCTGCCGCACCCCTAGGTGTACAGGGAATGGCTCTGACTCCCGGCCACGTAGTTTTACCCGGGCCCGCTCACCATCATGAAGGTCCTTAATGAGCTTGAGCAGAGGGTCAGGGACTCTGAAAGCACGAAGAACAACCCAGAGCCCAGGCCCACTGATAGTATCATAGGCCTTGACCAGGTCAATAAAGCAGAGATATAGGTCTCATTGGAATTCCCTACACCTCTGCTGTAGCAGACGGACAGAAAATATGGCATCTGTGCAGGACGGCCTTTTCCTGGGGCTCCGCAAGCCTCTTCTCAGCGTGCCTAGCAAGGCGATGTTGAATAATCCTTGCCAGGACCTTTCCCGGCACACTGAGGAGCGAGATGCCCCTGTAGTTGTTACAGTCTGTGCGGTCCCCCTTCGCTCACGTGGTCACACACACGCACACACGCGCAGACACGCGCAAACACACGTGCGCATCGCCTTACCTGGCGGCACACGCACGAGTTGCCCATGAGCGCGCACGCCAAGCGTAGCACCAGCGGCAGCGCCTCACTGACAAACAGCCACGCCAGCACGATCATGAGGCGCGGTAGCAGCGGCGCGGGTGCCGGCGGCGCGAGGTCGCGGCGCCAGCGGCACGGGGATGCCGCTGCTCGTGACGGCGGCGGCGGTTTCGGCGTGCGCTTCCGTGGACGGGTTGCGCCGGGCGCCTGGCATCGTGCCAGCCGCCGGGTGGGGAGGCCGGAGCAGGGCCCTTCTGCGTCCCTCTCTCTCTCTCTCTCTACGCACGCTGTCAACAGAAGGGGGATAAACACGTCAGCGCCGCTCGGACCGATTTTGAAGAGAAGAAACTAAACTCGCTCGCTCCCGTATTTTAGACGCGTATCTCGAGGCATGGGTGCCGTCCAAAACAAAGTCTGGCGCTTACGTTCAATGAGCGGACGGTTACGGTCAGGGCCTGCTACGACACGATCATGCGGCGACCCTTCAACCACGATGGCAATGCAGTTACGATGTCAGAGCGTCACAGCGGACGGTCTCGCATACTGCCGAGGTGCGCGTCCGATGTCAAATTTCCCGCCCCCCCGCCCCCCCCCGCAAATCGACACCGTGTTGGTCAGGCACTGTGGGTTGGTTGAAAAGTGGGACCAGGTCCAATTCTGATATCAATCACCGCTGATGGTTAACTGTTGCCAGGAATCGGGCTCAGGTCGCCGGATTCGTATCGCAGTGTTGTTAACCGCTGCGGCACATTTCAGTACTTTAGTCTCATTAACGGAGATTCAACTGTGTGCCAGACAGCCCGCGAAAAACAAACCCACGCCATATGTCTAGGCAATATGTCTCCAAGAGCTACTCACTTCGTGCGATTGCGGTCATGCAACCCAAACTATGGCCCATACAGTAAACCTCTAAGTCTGCGCTCATTCAATGTAAGAGGAGGAACAGAAGAGCCACACAAACGTTCTCTCCTGACGCCATCTCGTCGTGGCTAACAGACCTTTGACGTTCGCAATGGGTTCTTGAACATTTTGCAATCACGTACATATGCACGGTGAACTCCTTTCGCACCGTACGTAGCCAATCGTGCCAATCGGAGTTGCAGAAGAAAATAATATAATTTGATTAAAGTCTGCCTTTAAGGCAGACTTTCCTCTTCCATGTTCTTTCTCTCCCCTATCCGTCCCTTTATCCCCCTTGCTATTTACTTGTTCTTATACCGCTCCCTTAGATCAGGGGTCAACCAAAATAACAAGAATGAGAAAAAAATTATAATTCGGTAGCAAAAAATATATATCTTTCAAGAGCTGCAATGCATGCGAATAGGAGACGGTGACGCTTGATAAACGTCACGGAGCAGCCCCTATAAAGAGCCGCATGCACTTCCGGAGACGATGGGCCATGGTAAACTGAACATCTATCGGCAATGGTAAACTGGATTTCCATGGTAAACTGGACTTTCATGATAAACTGGACTTCCATGATAAACTTGACTCCCATGGTAAACTGGACTGCCATGGTGAACAGCACTCACATAGTAAACTGGACTCCCATGGTCAGGAGTCGTCAAAAAAATAACAAGAGCCATTTTTGTTCGAATTTGGTAGCAAAAAAACCCTCAACATTTCAACAGCCGCCACTGCGCAGTCCTTGAAGAGCCGCCGGTTGCCGACTCGCGCCTTAGATTGTAACTCGGGGGGGGTCCCGTAATTACGCCGACCATCCTGGGTCTTTGCCCGTCCGTACTTGCTGTTGTTGTTGAAAAATATGAATGAAATTTTTAAAAAATATTTAGAGAACAGTTGATGGCCGCCGACCCGTTCGTACACCCCAGGAGAGGCAAGAGAGAGAGGGAGAGTAAAACTCGCGACGCCCACATGCAGTCGGGCTACAGGCACGTTGTATTCACTATCGAGCCAGGAAGGGTGACCGGCCACTACGGCTTCCTGCTTGAGATGTGAACTCACAATCTTCCAAACGCGAGTCAAGCCCTCGCTCACCACAGTGCCAATCGGCATGCCAACCGAATGTAGAGAGGGCAAAGGGCGGAGATGACAGCAGCTTCTCCCAGCGGGCTGACACAAAAGACAAAAACAAAGATCCCCGTAAAGCCTGTAACAGCCTGTTGGGGCAAGTGCTGTTAGCGTGCACCTATGAAGACTGGCACGGCACACGAGGAGGTGGGCGGCCAGCACCACGCCCGGCCGCCTTTGTCTCCCCAGTGGCGATGTTTGCACACCGCACCAGGTACTCATTTGAGGCTGAGTCGACCTATGGGAGGGCCCAGGACCAGTTCAGATTATCCTCACTGGTGTTTGCCGTGAGCGAGAAATGAACCCGGCCCGCCGGGCTTAGCAGTGCAGAGTAGCGCTAACCGCTACACGGCAGCACGTTCCCCCCCAGCGGGCTGACTCACAAACACGCGCACAAACACGGGCACATGTGACCGCGGTTACGAGGGGAGAGAGAGCGCAAGACGGCATTACAAGGAATCGTGAAGCACCCATCTCCACCCCCCCCCCCGCCGCGAGTCTCTTCACTCATCAGGTCGGGTTTCGTGGGCACACGGGGGCAGCAGGCTGGTGGCACCGCGTGCCAGCCCGGCGCATGTAAATATTACCGAAGACGACGGTGGCGACCCGCACGGATTTTTATTGGGGGCAGCGTTCTCAAGCGCTCGGCTGGAGTGCATCGTCCCCTCGCCGCTGACCACCCCCCCCCCGCCCCGCGACATCCGTGCCTTTGAGTAGGCGGCTGCCGATTGCGTGCCAACAACAAACAGTTGAAAGAAAGGCACTTCGCAGGTGGCTGGGTGGCTCATTCGGGGCCCTCGTGTGAGAACGCTGGGTCAAATCCACGGTCCTGCCACCCACGATTAAACCAGGTTCTCAAAGAGTGCAGGGTTTCGACCGTTGTCGCCCGATAACGAGATTGAAAAATCCACCGGCAGCAACTCTTGCTTTCGCTGCCATTGCCACGATCCGGCTACGAGGATAAAACCAAAATTGGTTGCTTTGACGCAGCAGCAGCAGCAGCAGCACTCTTCCCAGACCACCGAACGCGGACCAAAAGCCCGTGCGACCGACGTCACAAAGCTGGTCTGATGTCACCCGCAGAAGCCACTCTTCAGGCGCGGCATTAAACTGCTCGGCCGTGAGCGTTCCAAAAGGAAACAAAAAAAAACTTAAGATTTGTCTCGTGATCAAGACATAGTTGGAAAAACAAAGCTAAGTCAGAATATTATTTTTAATAATCGGCCGAGCACGCCCCCGGGATAACTGGCGATGCGTGGGAGGGTGCACAACACCGCTCCCACGTGCCGCGTTCGCTCTGCGCGCCGACTCGAGTTCGCGCTCGCTGGGGCAAGGACAACCGCCGAGGCAGGCGACGTCGAGCCGCCGAGGTCGCCCGCGCGTTGTCAGAGACGCGCCCACACCGGAGCAAGTGTGCCGGGCACCTCGGTTGCTTGCCGGTCCAACCTGGTTACGTGGCCATGCAACTCGGTTGCGTACACGTGGATTGTTGAATCAGGTGGAATTTGCGGGCGAGGGATTCATTCGGGGCGGGAGAGGAGGCCGCGGCAAGGGGAGAGCCGCACTAATTGCAGCAATGACTCGGGACGCGGTTGAGCGAGTGTTGAAACGCAGTCACACATTCGATACTTTACTTGCTGAATTTCCACACGTTTGTGTTTTTTTTTTTTCTCAATGCTTCTTTAAGTGACTACGGAGAGACTCGGCCCAGTCATGGAACTACAGATTTCCCCTCCCCATCCACGAGCTCTACCAGTGTTACAAGGAGGCGAGCGCCATGCCACAGCTGATGTCCTTCCCCCGCACCTCCGATTAGCACGGTTGGCTACGTACGGTACGAAAGAAGCTCAACATACGTACATAGCTCTTCTTGAGCAAGGGGGAGGGGAAATGCCGCCCCCCTAAAATTTTGACTCTTGAATGGGGAGCGCAGTCCACTTCTACAAACTGTAAACAATAGAACTCCTCCTGTCCAGGTGCTTAAATCAAAATCCGAGCAAGTGACGACTTCAATTTTAAAAGAGCCACTTTAATCAGTGAAATGAGGGAAGGTGAGGGGGGGGGGGGCAAACACACGTGGCGGGGGGGAGGCATGGGCTCACTGAGCAAGCGGTACCATCGTCAGCGGCGGCGGCGGCGGCGGCGGCAGTGCAGGAGGAAGACCACCGAGCCAGGAGGTTTGACGCCAAATCACGTAAGAAACGAGGGGAGAGAAAAAAGAAAACTGAACCACGCGGGGGAGGAGAGAAAAAAAAATCTCGCAACCGCATGCTCAGCTGCTCGGGATGAGAAGAGGGCGAGCGGAGATGTGGCAACGGCAACTGCTGGGGCAGCTGTTGCCACCCTCGAGATCCCCAACCAACGCGCGACTCTTGCCATGCCGACAGTTCTCCCCGCACCCCCCCCCCCCCCTCTCCCGGGTGGCTGGCGGCGTTGTTGGGGCGTCAGAAGATTTCGCCCTCGACAATTCACGGGCCGCGGGTCGCCGACACGTCGAGGTTTTTATTTTACCGGCGTCCGACCCAAACAAACAAAAAAAATCGCGTCGCCCCGAGCGCCGGATCGTAACGCTTAACGAAGGCGTACCTTCAAAATATGAAAATGCCGCATCGGCTTGAAGTCGCGCTGGAAATAAAAAAAAAAAGGCTCTGGGACCAAAGATCGCCGAGACTTTGCATCGTCGCGACGAGCGCGCGCGTCGCCTGCCGCTGTTCTCACGCCATGCCAAAGCTTCTGACACAAATCCCGTTTCCCCAACGTCGGTTGGCGTTTGGTGGTCACACATCCGTTCTCTCCGGTTCCCCGCTCTCCTGGCCACGTTACGCATGCTAAAAATCCCCATTTCCTTTAACGGACAAACTCAGCACTTTTTATTTTTATTTTGCCAGATTAAGGTCCCATTGGGCAGCGTAGCTCTTTTTCAGACACAACCCGGCTATCGCAAATGATAGCGCAAACGAAGTGGCCTATCGCGTGGACATGTACAGCGGCAGCCAAATACCCTCAACGCGTGGTGATGTTGATCCTAAATGTGGAGGGTAAAAACCGGAGGACCCGGAGAAAAATCCACACGACCGCGGGGAGAGAGAGAGAGACACCATAAACTCCGAATATACAACAAGCGTCAGGGTCGGGATGGGACCCACGACCTCCTGTTTACTTGGCGAGGAAGTTAAAACCTCGCCACTGTGGCACCCCAAAATGAAGGTCGGGTTTCGAGCGCACGGTCCGGGCGACCACGGCGAGAGAGTACGCT